GAATTTGTAGTTCGGGTCCAAATTATATATTAACTCTAAAATAAAATAATAGTTGGGGGAGATTATGTTTTTAGTATTATAATTATTATTATGATTTATATTGATTAATTTTTATATAATAATGATCATATTACCTGTATATTTGAATTTAAATTTATAATGATTTTTTTGCTAGAAAATTTATAATGATTTGAAAGAGAGAAGAAACTAAAAAGATGGAAAATAAGCTCACGCGAGTTGTGACAGAAAGGATGGCTAAAAAAAAAAAAGTGTTGTGACAGAACAATAATTTGAGAGTAGTTTTATAGTGATAATAGTTTTTGTTTTATTATATTCATATTTTCTAAGTGTGATAAATTGACTTTTTAACTTTTTGCAAAATTTTAAAATGATGGGAGAGAAATAAAAATCATGAATGAATGGTTAAATGCATAATCAATTATAAGAAAAATAAATCAGTATCAACAGTAAATATAAAAATTACAACAAGTTATATTTTTCATATCCTGTAGTGAGTTGCAAGTGGTAAAATTTATTTGTCAAAATCTATTCCATTTTTAGAAAAATAAGCCTATAAATAAAATATATATAAAAAAATGAGGAGATAAATTTTTTGGCAAGGTGGAGGAGGATTTTAGTCTTATATTTGCACGAGTTGCGAATTAGATGGTGAGATGGAAACACAGGTCACTCTCAAACTTATTTATTTATTTATTATGTTCCAAAAGAGACTTATCAGTTATCCATTGGATTGCTAATTGATTTCAGGAAGAAGACTCTTTCGAGATTTCTTTAATTCTTTCTATATGTCAAAAATTATTTACGCCAACACGGGATTTGCTATATTCCTTTTTTTTTTTTTTAATTTATGGCAATCATTCTCTCTGTTTTTTTTTTCCCATAAAATATCTCAACCCACGGATGACACTTGTTAATTGGGTTATATGTATTTGTAACAGGTGTTTTATATTGGGTGTATATTAGGCTTGAGTTATTTTATTTTCTTGATTGCTTTCTTGTATCAACTTAGGTAAGGGCCTTATACCTTCTTCGCCTTATTGTGACTAGGACTGGTTTTTGTAAAGTATGTCTTTAGGGCCAGTTTGGCTACAATAAATTTGTTGAATTGAAATCCCAAGATTTTTTTTATATTAAAAAAATTAATTATTTATTCCTTATAATTTTAACTTAGTTATAATTCAATCATTCAACCTTGACTCATTATAATTCAATCCTTGAAGATTTTACTTAGTTGTAAATCAATACTTGAATTTTGCTTCTTGTAATTTAATCTCTAAAGCTTTAACCTTTTAAATATTGGTCCTTATATTTTAAAAAATAAAATTATAAAAATTTAAAATATTTTAAAATTTATTACTAGTATTTTAAATTTTTAAACCCTTTTAATCTTTATAAATATTAAAATTTTAAAATATTTTTAATTTTTATAATTTTATTTTTTAAAATATAGAGATCAATATTTAAGAAGTGGAAACTTTATGGACTTAATTGTAAGAGGCGAAGTTCAGAAATTAATTTACAACCAAGTCAAAACTTCAGGCATTAAGGTATAACGAATTAAAGTTGAGAGATTGAATTACAATTAGGTCAAGACTATAAAAATTAAATGATTAATTTTTTTTTATATTTGATTCTGATTTTGACAAACAAAATGCGCCTATTTTTAATCATGCACCTTTAAGTTCCTCCAATGAACCTGTGCAAGATGTTCGAAGCAACAACAATGAAGCATCTAAAACTGACTTGCAACATCCTATTAGGAATTGAAAGCCAACTAGTTGGCTTATGTAACACACCAAAAAAAATTTTTTTTTTAATAATTTAACTCAACCATAGTTGGGTTACAGCCACCCAACACATTTTTATATCAATAATTTTGATATAAAATATTTTATAATTGGTTTCAACTCACATACTATAACATTTCAGATAAATTTTTACCTCCCACATGCCATTAGGCTAAATCACATTTGTCCATCCTTATACTCCCAACAAGTAAACTAAATCACATTTGTCCATCCTTATACTCCCAACAAGTAAAATAAGCAATTTAGTCAATTTTCAACACAAGCCAGTTATTTGGCCTTATAATCATGCCATTTTAACCAATTCAAAGTAAACCAAATATTAAAATTACAGTCATCCAAATTGTACCAAAAATAGAAATAGTTTGAAAGACATGATTACATTTATATATTCATATAATTGACAATAAACAAAAAGCCCTAATATTGGCAATATAACACATTATAAATCATAAATTAAATACCCAAAAGAGACAGTGGATCTATACCACTAAGCCTCTGGGACTCCTCCACATGTCACTCGTGGCTCTTCTCCTGAAAATTGTTAACCACATAATGAGACTCAAAAGTCCCAGTAACCAAAGCCAATTTATGATAGTGTATACAAACAGTTAAGTGTGTGCTTACTAAGTGAGAATTAAAAATAATATAATTCCAACAAATATAAGAAATATTACAATAAACACAAACAACCATCCTTATATCCCTCCATTAACCTCGAGCCGTAGCCCTCACTCGGTACTAAATTACCCGGCCAAAGGTAGATTAGCCCGAGTCCTTACAAACCACCTATTGAGCTCCAATAGGGGCGTACCACGTGGCACATAAATACAACAATAATAGCAAGTCTCCCAACACCTCCCACAATAAATAAACAAATTCATAATAATATTGCACAATTATACAATATTACAAAATTCATAATTTTCTCAATAATCACCCAATTAACATGAAGTAACACTAATCACAAATTAAAAGCATGGTTACCTTGTGGCTTTTTCAATAAATTATTCCTTAAAATTTCTCTCTCACCACAATCTTCACCAGTAATACAATCTACAAATAACATATTATTTATAAATATTAGTTTTAATTTTTGAAACTAATAAAATAATTCTAATAATAGAATTAAAAATATAACATAATTCCTAATCTCAATCTTAATACAAATCTATGGTTAATACTATTAAGTATAATTTTTAACTCCTCTTTTAATTATCAATAAACATTAATAATCTAAAAATCAACTTATAAACTAATTTCTATTATCAAAATTTTCTTTTTATTTCATAAATTCGTACCTAAAATACTCAAAAATTAAAAATTAAGTCTCTAGCTTAGAATCATAATCCTATAGCCATAATAATTCATTTCTCATCCCAAATAATCATCTAAACCTCAATAAATCAATATATATTTTCAGATCTAGCCTAGAATTTGATCCATAAGCCACAAATTCAAAGATCACCAATAAATTTATATTCTAGAATATTTATTATACTACTAACAACCTCAAAAACCATATTTATTCAACATAAATTCATCCCTCTTCCATATCTTAAATTTTCTACCACTACAAACTCAGAAACTAAAGAAAAAGGATGACTAAGAAAAAATTTTAGAACACTTACTTAGTCTTGAAAAGCTTAAAATCACATCCTAAATATCCTATTAAAAACTCTTACCTTAAAACCCTGCACCGATGAATTTGACTCACAGATGCTCTCTCTGTCGAAGCTCACACACAAAAGAAGGAATGAAGAAATGAAGGAACAGGTGAGTTTTTATAAAAATTCAGTGGGTCTCACATTTTTTTTTAATTATTTTCTCTCTCTTCTTCTTCTTTTTTTTATTATTATTTTATTATTGTTACTGTTGAGGCGGCGGACGAAGCAAATTCGTTTTCTTCTTCTTCTTCCTTTCTCTTTTTTTTATTATTATAATAATAATTTAATAATATTATTTTATTTTTTTTATTTTTTTTTCTATTAACCCAAATTAACTATTAAAATTTAAATTGGGATGTTACACTTAAAGACCATGACTGCTCTAAATTAGACCACTTAAATAGCGTGAAGGTCAAAGGTGGAAACAAAAATCCTTTATCCAATTCGACGCCATGTGTGTTATTCCAAAGTTTCATCATCATATAAACAATTTCTTGTTTGTACTAATAAAATTATAGAATCAAATATTTTGGATGAACCTATCACTAATAGTAGATGGATAGATGTTGTGAAAAATGAAATTGATGTATTAAAAAGAAACAATACTTGGGAAATAGTAGACCTCCCAAAGAGCAAGAGAGCCATAGGGTGTATATGGATCTTTAAAAAGAAATACAAGGCAACTGGATCTTTAGATAAATTGAAAGTTAGACTTGTTGTAAAAGGATATAGCCAAGTAGAAGGGATAGATTAATTCGATACTTTCTTTTCTATAGACTTGATTGCCACTTTGTGAGAGAGGAGTTGCAATCAAGATTAACAATGCTTCAGCATAGATCTTTTAAGGAACAGTAGGCAAACAGACTCACAAAGATATTAGGTAAATTGAGCTATGAGAAATTATTAAACAAGTTAGGAATCTTAAATTTATTTGATTCTAACTTGAGGTAGAGTATAGAAAATACTTATTAATTTGGTTATATATATTTGTAACAAGTGCTTTATATTGGATGTTATATTGGGCCTGGGTTTTTTTCTTTTTTTGATAACTTTCTTGTATCTACTTAGGTCGATATAGCCCTCTTCATCTTATCGTAACTAAGTTAGAATCCAATAAATTCAGGGTTTACCCAGTCTTCCCATATTTGGTTTTTTGCAAAGTTTGTGCTCTGGATCAGCTTGGCCACGATAAAGTATTATTTAGATTTACCAAGTCTTCCTTTGCGGCCTGAACCCGAAAGAAGTTTGTGAGTTTAGCATTAGTCAAAGCTTAGCTAAACTAACGAACATTACCAAATTTACAGCAACAGCAGATAGACACGCGCCGCGGTGAACCTGGCTCCTGCACTCATCCACATGTTAACTCAACCGCAATGAACCTAACCGTAGATCCATTGGAAGGCTTTGATTTTGCCACGTCGTTCCATTCATTCCATCCGCTGCCATGACCCGCACAAGCGACTAGCGAATTCCTCTTACGGTAACTGATATTATTCACCGTGCAGACCGAGCGCGCCGTTGCTTGGTTCGGACTTCACGCTATCCTTCTGCCATCTTTCAACAACCAATATAAGGCGCAATAGCCCACAAGCGACAATTCTTTTTATTTCCTCCCCAAGTTTTCGATCCTCCGTTCTCAATCCAATCTGCCATTTTTCAGTTCACCCAGAGCTTTAACTTTGTCTGTCTCTCCCCCTGCTCGGATTTACAATTCACGCAACTACCCCCCCTCCGGGTATCCAATCAGCAATCGTCATGGCTGAAGGTATTCCCTTTTATTTGATTCTATTGATTAAAGTCTTTATTTGGGTTGTTCTAAATATTCCTCTTCCTCGCGCTCTTGGGGGCTTCTTCTTGTTAGTGCTTTGTGCATCAGCTCAAGTCAACATTTTGAATTTCCGCTTCGCTCATCGCCTTTTCTCTTTCTGTGCACTTGCAAAAGGTGGCAACGACTCCTTAAAATCTCCGTATGAAGAAGCATTGGATGCATTGTCGTCTTTAATCACTAGACGCACTCGTGCTGATAATAGTAACATGGGGGATCGGTTCAACGTGCTATTCGAGTACTTGAAGGTAAAAGATTTGCGAGTTGGACTGGAATACTTAGTTACGTTGTTGGGAAAAGTCTAGTTGGTGATGTTCAAAATCCCGGGCTAGTTTTGCTACTACAGCTGCCGCCTGCTAAGCTGATGTTCTAGTGTTATATGAATTTCAACAGATGCTGGATTTGGAGGAGCCAATTTCAAAGATGAAGATCATACACGTGGCTGGTACCAAAGGGAAGGTATTTTCGCTTCATTTGCTGGTTGCTCGGAAATGAAACCGTGCGCTGATTCATCTTTGGCTATATATAAAATATGCGTTTTCATTCTCTCTCAACACAGTCACCGATTCATTTATGGATTTCCAGTACTTGAGCTCAGTTCAGGCAAAAAAAAAAAAAAAGTACTCGTGTTTCGTTCGTAATTACTGCCTTCAGGCTTCAGGATCTCACTGCAGCTTTCAACTTCCAATTTACACGTGAAGTTTGCCTACACTTTTTATGATACAAATTACTCATTTAAATTGCGTTTTCATAGGGATCTACATGCACATTCACGGAATCTATATTACGTAACTGCGGTTTTCACACTGGGCTCTTTACATCTCCTCACCTCATAGATGTTCGTGAAAGATTTCGTTTAGATGGGTCAGTACTTCGCATCCATTTTCGCTTTTATTTCATTTCTTTTTTATTTTGAGCCCAGCACTTTTATTTCTTTTATGTAATCCAAATAGTGATATTTGGGATTTGCATTTGAAGTTCTTTGCTCTACATTTGCCTGACCTGTTCTGTCAAGTGGGCATGATAATGTGGCCAAAAGGGAGGCATGAATGCTACTGATTAGTGATTAAGGATTTGAATTCTGATGATTTGGAAAATAAGGGAATAGTTTCATATCTTCTTGTAACAAAAGTGATCTTCCATTTGAGAAGTTGCTGGTATCTCCTAAATCCTGTACCTATTTGCTTTTGCCTAATTAATAGACCTACTAAAGTCCATCTACATTGAATTGGCAATCCTTAATGCACAAGTCTTATAACCGCCCATGTGAAGAGTACAATTGCAATTAAGACAAATTGGCAACATAGCTAGGATGGTCTGATTTACTATCCCTGTTCTTGATGCTTCTGCAGTGTGGAAATATGTGAAGAGAAATTTTTAGCATATTTCTGGTGGTGTTATGATAGACTGAAGGTATGTGTTGTGCATTATCAGTTAATCACCTTTTAAGAATCTGAACTGGAAAATCATTGGCACGTTGGAAGATCATGTTCTCATTTTTTTTCCCTGTTTTAATTTATTTTGAAGCACAAACTACTCATATTTGAATTGTTTTTTGAACTTTATCTTTATATTTCTGTAAATTTGTGTGCCTAGTTGGACTGACAAAATGTATATTTCCTGCTTGGAGTTTTGAGGCTTAATTCATGCTATTCTCCTAAACTGTTGGATTCATTTCTGAACACTAGTGGTTTCTAATTTTGGTGGTTAGGAAAAAACTGATGAAAATGTTCCAATGCCTACCTATTTTCGCTTCCTTGCTTTGCTTGCCTTCAAGATATTTGCAGCAGAGCAGGTCAGATTGCTGTGTTTTAGTCATGTATGCAAATATTGTTGTACCCTGTTAATGATGAAAGGTATTTATTTTTAAATTTTATTCAGGTAGATGTTGCTATAATGGAGGTTGGATTAGGTGGTAAATATGATGCAACAAATGTGGTATGTATAATTGTGATTTCAGCAGCAATATGCTGGTGTGCTTGATTATTAATATTTTCCACAAAGGATATTTGTGAACAAGATCATGTTGATGGGCTTAAATTTCAGGTTCAAAAACCTATTGTGTGTGGCATAACCTCCCTTGGGTATGACCACATGGAGATTCTTGGTTAGTATTTTATTTTGTAAGTATTGCTTGTTAATGCCAAGCCATTGCTAATGAAAATCATGAAGTAACTTGAGAGATGAAAAAGCACCAATTTATATGTGGATTTTATATATATTGCGCATACAACAACTAGAAACAGAACAGCTTGTTGTCGCATTTTCAAAACAAACTAACGTGAGATATGTAGTGTTATAACTTGTAATGAAAGCAAGTTAACCTTTAATGTTGACATAGATAATTGGTGAGATTTGCTTCCCCATTGTAACTAAGAACATCTAGAAATCATTTTTAAGTGCCTTTATTTATGTAACTGTATGCCTATTTGACAAGAAAAAAGAAAAAAGTAATTCTTTTATAAGCTCAATAATATAATCAAAGTGTTAGAATAAGGTTAATTAAGTTGCACTGCTGCTGATTCATTCAACCAGTTAAGTTTATTTCCTCCTGCTGCATTTGATTAACAGGGAATACTCTTGGAGAAATTGCTGGTGAGAAGGCTGGTATCTTCAAGGTATTCTTGGAGCAAATATTTTTTCTTTCAAAATCCTTTCAAAGTCAGTTTCAACAATCTGTTCTTTTAAGTGCAGCTTAGTTGTTATTGCATTTCTATTCTTTCTTATACACTTTACCGTCTTTCGTTGTAGCATCAAGGAAATTAATTTCTTTTTTGGTTCGTTCTGACAATTTCATATTATTTACTTGTATTTCCTATTTTGATGTAGCACCGGGTTCCAGCTTTTACTGTGCCTCAGCCTGATGAAGCCATGCATGTACTTGAAGAGAAGGCATCACAACTTGATGTAGGTACATTCTTTCATGAGGCTATCATGTATACAATTAACTTTCAAAGTCAAGCGAGAGGGCACTGGTTGGTATGCTTGTTTTGGTTTACAAGCATGCATATTGATTTTGTTTTAGTTTAGTTGTGTTGTTTTCAGAACTTGCCAACCCAGACCAAAATTCATAGGCAAATGTCACCAAGTATTTTCTTTTATATACTTGATTATTGAGACATTTCCTTAGATGTCCATTACCATTTTTCAGTTCTCCAAAATATTAGTTCAATTACATTGTCGCTGTCCTAAGACATGTATTTAACATTTCAAAACATATTTGAGGGGTTGTCTTGGAAAGAAAAAAATTCTTCCCACGGACTCAACTTGTTATACTCATTACATTTAATCTAGTCGTGTCTTATTTTGTGCACTTTACATTGTCAACTATATTTTGAAAGACAGGATATACATATATCAAATTCACTTAACTGTCTTGGCTTAACTATCTATTAACAATGGGGGAAAAGATAGCTTTCTTGGTAGCCCATTCTGGAGTAGTTTGATTAGTCAATCATCTGAGTAAATTTCACAAACTACAGGTACCTCTTCAAGTAGCACTGCCATTAGATGCCAAGTTGTTAAATGGTTTAAGACTTGGGCTTGAAGGTGAGCATCAATATCTAAATGCAGGTCTTGCCATTTTACTATGCTCTACATGGCTGAAGAGGACTGGGCATCTTGAAGATAGCTACTTGGAACGGACTGTAAGTTTTAACTTTGAAAAGTGATTCTCACTACGCCCTTTTGTTGCTTTATTCCCCCCTTGATTTTTATCATTCAGTTGGAGTGATTCATTTATCCACATGAATCAGCACTCATTGCCAGAGCAGTTTGTAAAGGGATTGACAACTGCAAGTTTACAAGGAAGGGCTCAAATTGTTCCTGATCAACACATCAACATTGAAAGCCAAAATGAACTTGTCTTCTTTTTAGATGGGGCGCATAGTCCTGAAAGCTTAGAAGCATGTGCAAGGTGGTTTTCACTTGCTGTTAAAGAAGATAACCTGGGCCAGACCTCTCTTCATCAGAAGTCTGATAATTCTAAATTTTCTAATGAATTAGTTAGTTTGCATCATGGTCAAAGAGCCAAGAGACAATCCACACAGGTAGTGCACAGATTTTGAATTCTATTTTATAGGAAATTTTATTGGAATTGGATGTTTGACAAGAATAAACTGACAGAAGTCATAGCAGTTGAAGTTTAAAATATGATGGTTAAAAAAAGTTCAGCATATGGTTGAAGTATTTGACCAGATGTTGATTGTGTCCTGTGCTCAAAGTTAAAAAATGATACCATAAAGCTTGTGAAACTGACAAAATAAAACTAATGCTTAATGGGTAGTAAGTCACGTTACCTAATTCATCAGAGAACATGAATGCTAGTTATTGTAGTTCGGAATCAATTTGCAAATATTTTGCATGCTTGCTCTGGGCATGATAATGTAATACACAAAGTTGCTACTTTGATGCTTTAATCATTTAATTATACTGTCAATTTTAACCCGACTTAAATTTCCAGCTTTTGGTACCTGTAGTTATCAATTGACAATTCCAATTAACAAAAGACAAATGGAAACAAATAAGATGCATTGGTCTTACTTTGCCACTGTTTGAACGATGATTAGACTGCCTTATATTAAAAACCCTTTTCCAATTTGATAGCCAAGTCATCATAACTATCAACACTTTTGTATGTACAGAATCAGGTAAGCTGTCTTCTGTAAAAATATCAGTTTAAAGTTAACTGACCTTTTATCAAATTCTGTTAATACATGCATGCATGCTCCCCCCCGCCCACCTCCAACCACAAAAAAAAAAAAAAAAAGAGGTGATCTTTGTATCTTAATCACCTGAGAGTGCAGTGAATTTTATTAACTCCTCCTTACTGACATCTGGCTTGAGATTTAGGGATTTCAGACATGATTATATAGTTCAGATAAATGTAATTATTGTTTTTATCAGCTGAATGTGTTTCGATCTCTGATACTATTCCATTTTCTTTTTGTTTCTGCGTGATATCTATTGCCTTTTATTCACTCTGGTCCTTTGTTAAATGAACTTTGCTTATCACTTTATCAGGAGTCAGGAGAAGTGCACATGATCATCTTTCTTGTAATGTTTTAAACAATTCTAAACATTAGAGAAGAATAAACGTACTAATGTTCATTTTATCAACGTTGATGTGGTTTTTAAACTGAAATTGTTGTATTACTTGCAGATATTATTGTTCAATTGCTTGTCAGTGAGAGATCCTCAGTTGCTCCTTCCTCGCCTGATGCAAACATGTGCTGATAATGGTGAGTAATCTCTGGATTATGATAGATTATGTTTACCCATGCTCAACCTAACAATCCTGCAGGCACGCGCACATGACTCAGAAGAAAAGTGGCTTTCTCCACCATTAATTCTATAATTATTATTTCAGTCACATTACCAAACAATGCTCCTATATGGAGAAAACGGAATTAAAAAGTTTTTCCGCCAGGTGATCTTATCTGAACAAGAGATTTATTCCTTGTCCCCTGAATAAAGAAAAAAAATTGAATTGAAACTGTAGGTGTGTACTTCAAGAAGGCGCTTTTCATACCAAGTTTATCAGTCTACTACAAAGTTGGCTCCCATTCTTTATCACCAGCTGAATCTAATGTTGACCTGTCGGGGCAGTTTACTCTTCAGAAAGTGTGGGAAAATCTCATGCAAGGAAACAAAGGTATTAACTGACTGCATACAAGATTATGTCAATCAGAACTTAGGTTTCTGCATCTGATGATAAAAATGTTATAAATAAATGTGACATGTTCTTTATGCTGTTTATTTTGTAAGTTGAGTTTGGTTGTGTTGGAGTATGGGACAAAGAACGTTATGGATGATTTCCCAAAAAAATCAAAAGTAAAGCAAGGTTAAATACCTTTAGATCTAGGTTGTGCTTGCAATGTGCTGATTTGCTGACTAAGAAAGTTCTCGGTCTAGATCTATGTTGCCTTATGTTGTACCAGTTTTTTGGAAAGTGACAAGAGTGGTTCTCTGGACTCTGGGCTGATGTAATGTGACCTTTGGAACTTCCATGTTTATGTGAAGGAGTAGGAGGAAGAAAGAGAGTCTGGGGAAAAAGGAATTGAGATGATGACATATTGTGGATTACCATAATTTGTTTCTTTGGGACTTCTATGAGAGTGTGTGATTAGTTTATGATGCATCTATATTATGCCGTTTCTCTGAAGCCCTACTTCGGCCTTGTTACTGCTGTTTAGAACATAAAGCTTAGTCATCTTTGGTTTTTGCTGTGTCTGTAAGCCACTTGGTCCTCAATTGACTCTAACTGAATTTAATACGCGTGCTTTGTCACTGTTTGACTTTGAGACTTACTGTGTGATGGGAGAATGTCATTGCTTTATAAGTAGAGTCTTAGATTATTTCCTTCAATTGGTTTTCTCTCTCTTTTTGGTGGCCATCTGGCTTGGTAGGAAGTGATGACAAGAGTGCATATGCTGTTTCTGATGAATTAAAAGAGGGTATGGAAATGAGTACCAGTAATTGTGAACATAGTGCAGTGTTTCCCTCATTGCCGTTGGCTATCAAATGGCTCCGGGACAGAGTGCAGCAAAATCAGTCTGTTCGTTTTCAGGTAATGTCAATTATACTGCGGAATTGTGAATATGTGATATTGTCAAGAAGATAACTGATAGACTGCATGCGGAATGATCAACATCTCTATTGCTTGTTAAATATAAATGTGCGGGATTTCTCTACATTTTAGGTTTATATGCCAGATGCAAGATCTGATTATAAATTTGCCTGCTTGATCCCTCAGGTTCTGGTAACCGGTTCTTTACACCTTGTTGGTGATGTCTTGAAATTGGTCAAGAAGTGATCTGTTGGACCGAGTAATTCATAGTTTCTTCAAGATAAGGCCCCCATCGAGCTGTGCTAGTGTACATTCAGCACTCTTGGTTCTGGTAACTTTTAAGGGTGGACCTGAGGCGCCTCCTGTATCATCATCAGGCTGGTGACTTTGTTAGATGACCTTTCTCTAATTTCTTGTGGGTGTAGTTGAAAAGGAATTGTTGATTCAGATGCATGATCATAAATAATTCAGTGGAGTAGGTTCTTCAACACAGCTCGATGGATGTCCTCGTTTTTTTTTTTTTTTTGAAGTGGCATCTTTTGCGGCGTAAGAAGTGCTGGTGTTTGCTCATGAAGTCGATGCAAAATTGGCTGGCAAATTCTTTATGAATATTCATGGAACCTTTCAATGAATGTTATCTCAGGTTTTCATCTGTTCGATCTTGTTGCATGCCTACTTATCCTTTTTGCAAGGAAAATTATCCTCTTAACAAAATAAAATGTTATAGGCTTTTTTAAATAGGATAATTGCTGTATCCAGCGAAACTTTCCATCACAGCTACACAGCTAGTAGTCAGTTGCTCAACCCCCAACAAGGTCAGTCTTGGTTACTTTTGAGTTTGCAAGACGGCTTTGGAAGTTTTAGAAGTTGAAACCAAACGGGTGCTTGGATTTGCTCTTCTAATGCCTTTGTTTCAGAGATCTCCCTGTATGATATTGTTACTCACCGCAAGTGCACGGGTCGTAGCAAGTAATATAAAATGAGTAGAGTATCGTTCCCTCGAGGATTTATTCAAAAACAATGATCAAGCAAAAGACTAAGCAAATTTGATCAAGTTGAGCTACACAAAGTTAGGTGAAAATAATTTTGTTTATAAAGCTAATACTAGAAAATAAAGAAAAGTGAGTGATTCACAAACTTCCAACACAATTTAGGACCTAGGATTATTTATCCCCCTTGCATTTCATAACACCAAAATTACCTCCTCTCATAAATGCTTTTAATGAAAATAAATGCTAACCTAGGGTTTTAAAAATACTTGGACAAGCTCTCTCAAGTCATGAACAAGTGTTTAGTTAAATTAATTGCCCAATCTCTTGTTACAATTAATAAAACTCAATTTTAAACACCAACCCTAATGTGGCTATGCAAGGCTAGCAAGTATATCTCTATCTTACTAGCAAAACCATCCATTCAACATGCAAATATCAAGTTCTTACACAATTTTACCCAAGTTCTACACTCAACCTAGCCCTCTCAAGCATCAATTAAGTGAACCCAACATCTAAATGGTGGCCAATCAAGTAGAAGCATTAAGGAAAGAGTAAAATAAACACATATATATCATTAATCACAAAAAGAGAGGAGAAATATGGTGTTAATCCATACAAGGGTTCTAAATAATCCTAGAACAAAGGGTTTAGCTACTCATAATCATCCACAAGCTACAAATATACAAAATAAGTGGACCCATTTCAGATTACAAGAGAGGAAAGGGAAGAGGAATAGAAAAACTGAAGAAAATGAGCTCCAAATGTCTTCAAAGCTTCAATCTCTTGATCCCAACTCTTCCAATGCCCAAACCCTAGCACAACCAAGCTCCAAAGGTGTCTAAAAGTCTGAAGAATGCGTTCTGGGTCGAGCTCTCAGCTTATATGTACCTAGCCAACCAATTTCTGATAAATGAAACGCAGCGTTTTTCTGACAGCGGCGAAAGTCGCGAACGAAAGTCACGACTTTGGGACGACTTTGGCAGTTTTACACTGTTTTTACAGCTAACGAAAATTATTCATTTTGCTCTTGATTTCTTCATCCAAAAGCCTTCCAAAAACATCCACAACGCTCCAGAAATGCTTTTAATCAAAACTTCAATCAAAATAACATGAAATTAGGCTAAAAATATCAAATTAAAGCCAAGAACACAAGCCGAAAACAAAATGCACATTTTCCTAATTTGGGCAATAAAAACATATACAATTGAATCAAAATGGATTAGAATCTAAGAAAAATGTGATGAAATAACATGAACTTCTAGAGGTTAACACACCCCCAAACTTAGATTTTTACTCGTCCTCGAGTAAAACAAGTAATAAAACAACTAGATTGACTAATTATTCATCTACTAAGCATGCATGAAAATATCCTCACTAGTTGCTCCAAATATATGTTAAAGAGGATAGCAGTGAAATATAAAGGAATGCCCAATTCACAAATTAAGATCATGCTTTCCAACAATTTAGAAATGTGTGTGTGTGAGACCAGAGAACGATTTTCCTGCAAATATCAAGTCAAAATGTAACAACTTAATATGCATAGAACAAGCTCAATATCAAGACTTCATATGCCTAAACTCTTCTTCTCTCTCCACTAAAAGATCACTTCACATAATTCAAAATCAATGGGACTTTGTAAGCTTGTAGCGTGGCCAAAGGTTTTGGGCTTATTGAAATGAAAGGATAAATGGAATTCAAAGAACTTGAGATAAATGACAATGAGAAGCCAACCATTCCATTCTTGCTAGCCAAATACTTTCCCCCAAACTTATCCCAAATACCATTCCTTGTACTCCAAATTTATTGATATTGAAACTCTTTTTTTTTTCATTGCAATTTTTTTTTCATGTATATTTCTATATATTTTTTTTTCTTTTTTTTTAGGAGCACAATTAGTAGAATTTCAAACTTCATTTCCATTCCTCACACCCAAATTTACAATAACAACACCTCCTTGAACAACTAAAACAAACTTCCCTACTAGCACACAAAAATTTTTTTATCACTTATCTCAAGAGTAAGGTAGTTCATGGTTTTTCAAATTATAGAGGCTAGGGTCTAATGAAGGTTTCAAAAAGAAAATACATAAGATTTTCAATTCCAGGCTCAAAAGGGGTTCAAGTGGAAATGATGCAATAGGTGGGCTTGAAAGGCTCAAACGCAATTGAAAGAATGCCCAAATCATATTTTAATATCATGCAAAGTGATTAAAATGCCTCAAGAGATTCCAAGATAGGTTCTAGAGTTTCTCAATTGAGAGAGAAAATGCACATAAACTTGCCACATAATTTCCTAATAGAGGCATTCAAATCATTGTCTGGTTCAAAAGTGCAAAACAACATTATTAGAAAGCAAGCCTTAACCCTGAAATCAAGCATGCCAAAATATTTATCACAACTTCCTATAAAACATACAGTTTAAGCGACATTCTATCATTGGATCACACATTCTATTCAACAAATAATTTCTCAATCTAGCTCAAATTTTAAAAGAGAGGAACAATAAATAGCTAAGTTTCAAAATTGAAGTTCATGTCAAATCAACCAAAATAATACCCTCACCCCCAAACTTAAATTGAACAGTGTCCGCACTGTCAAAAGGGTAAAATGAGGGCTCTTTCTCATGTAACTTAACAACCAAAAAGAAGGTGCATGAGAGGCACAAAAATCTAGAAACCTGTAATAGTATAATTGAGATATATCCACAGGCAATCCAAAAATACAACTAACTACACCAGCATGTACACAAGTTATCATAGAGTAATTAGTTGTAAGAGATTAGTCAAGGTATCACATATTAGCTACAAAAAGATCAAAGTTAGCCCTGCACAAAAGATAACAGAAGATTATGGCTAACCATATTTACCCAAAAAGAACTAATCAACAGCTAATTAGAATTAAAAACAGAAATAAAAGGCAGTAAAGTAAGGAAGGGTGAAGCTAGTCAGCGTGAGTGTCTGAGTCTTGGCCAACATCAGTATTGGCCGCCTCTTCTTCCTCGGGAAAGTCCATTTGAAATCTCTGGTGCAAGAATAGCTCAATGTGGTGGAGCCTGAAGTCAATCCGATCCAGCTGGCACTGGAGGCCCTCATGCATGTTCTGGATGAGTGCTATGAGGTTGCTCAGTGTAGGCTCAACATGAGGTGGATCAATATGCCTCCTACCATCCGCAGCTTGATTTCCTCTTGGTCCCTCAGCACATCGAATTTCTCTATAATTGAACTTGGGCAAAGGAGGGAGCATGAGATCCTTCGGATAAGTAGGAACCTTCTTCTCTAAGCATACTTGAGTAATCAAGTGTGGGAACCCAAATGGCTGCTTGCGATATCTGCTTCTAGGCAACTTTCGCATATACTCAAACATGATTTTTGGAAAGTCAACAGGTTGCCTCATCATCAAGGTATATAACAGGGCAGCTTGATCAACAGTCACATCGCTCATATGGGTCACTGGGATCACATTAGATGCCAAGAAGTGCCACCAAATACGAGTTGTCCTGTTCAGATTACAGCGTAGAATACTCTTGGGATTGCCATGGGTGTCATGTTGCCAAATATTTTTATCAGGAAGGCATAGCACTCAGACTACATCATCAAATGGCAATTGAGTTCTATCATTCTTGTAGACAGTATATTGGCACTCTTCTATGGGAGAAAGGTTGTACACCTTTCGAAATGTGTCCTCAGTGATTTCTACCCATTTGCCCCGTACCTTACATCGCAAGGTATCCTTGCAAGCAGCGTAGGCATAGAAAGCTTCCACAAGTGGCTGAGAGGCATGGCTCTGTTCACGGATGAGGCTAGTGGCATGATACACATCATGCAAATCATTGTAGAATTGCTCAGACCATCTCAAAGGGAAAGGTCTTTCTTGAACTATTTTTCTCTCCTTCAAATTTTGCTCAAAATAGTCTTGAATCGCAGCAGTGGCAAATCGGGTTTTATCCCATCCCGATCCCTTAGAACTTTCACCAACCTCAATGACCTTGGCTTTTTTAGAAAGAGGGACACTTTTCTTACCCATGGCCTGCAAGAAAGCACTCAATGAAATACCAATGAGCAACAGCCAGTATAAGGAAGAACAAAGGTTCAAACTTAAAGCAAACATGATTAAATGAAGCTAGCACAAAAGGGCACTTTACATAACATGTTTAAACAAGGTCTAGCTTCTACATAACAGATTTGAACTAAGGATTTAAAACATGAAGAGCAAAGCCAAGTCCAGAATCAAGAAGCATGACAGTGAGTGTTGAACACAAGTCACAATCATAAGCTCAAGTTTCATAATGAGAGCATTCAACCAAAGAAAAATAGCTCATTCATGCTTACCAAATTCAACTTGTACAAGTATGCCAACATATCACTCTTTTTATCCTTCTAAGTAAGCCAAAAATGGAATTGTCAATACATAAATAGCCAATCACACCTACAAAACTTTGAGAGAAAAAAAAAATGCCAGGAATAGAGCTTAAAATTCAATGCAGTACACTTGCTTACTATCCAAATTTAGAACCAAATAGCAACATAATTGCATAATTCTTGTCAATTTGAATCACAGCACTTACAAAAGATGCCTCAATCAAGTTGAATCCTCCAATAGCCATTTTACAATAGGTTTAATTCAACTAGGAAAAATATCCAGCAAGGCAATATCAATCCTATCCCCTTCAAA